TACAAGAAGCTGGTGGAAATGTGTGGATTAAGCAGCATTGAAAGCTCCTAATGGTCAGAGCTGTGAAGGAGAAAACTTAGTTCTATTAACTGCTTATCTGAAGTCTCACTTTAGCCAGAGCTCTGGCAAAACAAAGAATTTTTGCTGGTTTATGCAGGGAAAACACTGAAGCCGGAATACTTGTATTTATTCACTACATTTGGCACAACCTTTTTCCCCAGATGCTGAGGACTCAGAGCTCCTCCAGAGATGATGACCACAGAGGGGCCCTCACATGGTGCGGAAATCAAACTGCATTTACCTTGGTGTGTAATTTGGGTCGATTTGGTGGAGAGGACACTTCTTTACAGTGTGATGACTTCTGTGATGTTGAACATCATTACCCCAAAGAACGAGGAATAACAGCCAAACTTTTTTTTTCCCCATCCCATAGCATTGACAGACGAAAACTCAAATGGGCCACGGGAACGTGTCAACGATTGCCGATTCTGCAGTGCTTTTTTATAGGAAAGTCAAGTCGTTCGACAGGTCTGAGTTAAAACCTTAGCTCCTGCAAACTTGCTCATTTCCATGAAAAATGCACGTGCACGGGCGGAGAAGGTGCCTGTTACATTGACAGAGGTCTTGAAGCCAGCGGGGATGCAGCGGCACCACCGAGGATGCTTTTTATTGCCTTTGCAGAAGGCCGGGGGCAACCTTATCCTCTGCAGTGTCACGCTGCTCAGCCACGCGGTACAAACCTGCGTTTTTCTTCTACCAGCCAGACAAGCAATGAGAAAAGTTTTTTTTTCTCCCAATGCCCCTGCCTCCTAAGCGGACACAAGCCCTTTGCATGCAGGATCCGGCCCTACAGAAATGCCCCCAGTGCTCCAGAGCCCACACCCCTGCCCTCACCTTGCCCTGGAGCTCCTGGGTTGTTTTTTTTTTCCCTGCCGGAGATAAAGTCCATCCTACCCGTCGTTTTATAGCTGTTCCTGCCCAGAAAAGTCTGCAGGTGTCTCATTCCCGTGTGGCGCCAGGTCTGGAGCCGAGCCTCGCGTCACAGCCCGTCCCCATCCCCGCCGTCGGTCGTCAGATGACTCATCCCTTTTCCGGAGGCTGCTCCGCCACCCGGGGAGAAATGCTTTCTAGTCTGGTGGCTACACGCACGGTTCAACTCTTGTAGGCACCTAAAAATGAAACGAAAGCGGGCGATGAGTAATTCTGTGCTTCTGTGTTACAAGCTAGGCGTACAGGGTGGCTGTGTGGAGGGAAAAAAGAAAATAAATGAAAATAAAGAGGGCGATGAAGACCTAAGCAAGGTGGGGAGCTCACAGAGGGATTTAACTGGGGTCTGTGAATCCCCAGTTCCCAGGGATGGGAAGGAGCACCACCGCCCGCTGTCAAACGGGGCCTGAGTCCCAGCTCTGTGTCTCCGGGTTGGGGCACATCCATCCTGGTGCGTGCAGAAAGTCAGCTGGCCTCAACCCCTCCATGGCCAGGGAGCAAATCGAGGGTCGCACCTTGTTGCAGCCCTATAAAAGCGGCGTGGCCATGGCTTTAACATCAATGCCTTGCAGAGGGACGATCCCGAACAAGCCGGGAAAGCTCCTCCAGGGCTTCGCCTGTCTGTCTCTTCAGAGCAAACATGAACTCCTCTTGGCACAAAGAGGCTGTTATGAACTCTGCCGCTTCCCCGTGGAGATGCCGGGACAGCAGATGCTTGTGCCGGAGGCTGGTTGATGGGACGCGGCATCTTGGGGCTGTTTCGGCACTGTCCCTTGGGGGGCGGTGGGTGCCCCGGCTGCGATGCCCTTTGCCGGGGCATGGCGCAAAGTCATCACCGTGGGCAGAAAACCCACCAGTGTGGCAGCTGGAGCTGTACAACGGGGGCTCTGCTCCTCCCAGTCAGAGAATAATCAACATAAGAGTGAATTATAGGCATAAAATAAAATAAAATAAATTTTTAAAAGGCACTCTTTTCAGTATTGCTGGTTTTACGGCCCAACAAATAATTTGTAACATAGTTTATTCAATTAATTGAGCTTCTCAGCTCTGGG